TCATATTGTTGCAGTGCTTCAGAGCCGGACCAAGATCCTCCTTGTCATCGAGTCATGGTCGATGGCCGTCACGAGACTTGATCTGTGGGCTCGTGTGGATCTACATCTGTGTATGTGTGTGTGTGTGTGTGTGTGTGTGTGTGGATTAGATGGTGATTTGCTGGAGCGTCTGATGGACAGCGAGAACCGGCAGCCGCACCCCCACTTGTCTGAGGTGGAGGCGCGGCGGTTCTTCCACCAGCTCATGTACGGTCTCGCCTACTGCCACCAACAGGGCATCTGCCACAGGTACGGTAGCTTGGTGTGGTGCAGTGCACCACCAACTAACTCAACTGCTGACACAATCTCACTGTACGACCGTGTTGTGTTGCTTGTCTGCAGAGACCTCAAGTGTGAGAATCTGCTGACCGACGACAAGGGCAGCCTGAAGATCTCCGATTTCGGCCTCTCAGCCCTCTATGACATCCGGCTTTTGTTTCCTTCTCCGCATCTACCTATGGTTCTGGTGTGCTAACGATTATCGCACAATGAATGACTCACTCGTGTGTGTGATGGCTCGTTTGCCGTTCTGTCTCTCTCTATCTCTTTCTCTGTGCAGGGAATGGCTACCCCCTGGCGACCACCAGTTACAAACACCCGGCCAACCCACAGTGCCCCAAATACTGCCGGCACCGGAACTCGCAGTGACAACAACGAAGAACAGGATGGCACGAGAGCAGAAACTACAGGACTTGGAGCTTGGACGACTAGATGGAATGCAAAACGCTCAACAAGTTTTCCCTTCCACACAGACCAACAATGTCGTACGTCTATTCTACTGACTGAGTCTCTTCACTGCACTAATTGAGGAGGTCGCCGGACTGTCGGCCTCCCTCGACTCATGCATTCGTTATGGTCTGTCGACAGACAGTGTCACAGCTGCACTGAACTTTCAACGTGTCTTTCTTTCTCCCGTGGCGCTGACGCACCACCATACATACAGAAATTCATTCATTCCCTCATTATGGCAGTGTACGCTCCCCTCCCCATCGCCACCACCGACGGACGATTCGAAGACACAAACACGAGGCTGCGGGACGGAGTGGCGTGCGAGTAGGCGAACAGAGGAGCGTGTGGTCGCGAATGTGTGTATATGTCTCTCTCTGCATGTTGTCAATGCAGTTCTGAGTTGGTCAAGACGCCGTACGTATACGTGTATCTGCTGGCTGGTGGCCATAGTAGGCCACCTGCACCAGACCAAGTCCTCGATGGCGGCGAGAAGCACGTGTGTCGGTGCAAGGGGGAGTGTGTGTTGTCATTCAAAGACGGCATCGTGGTGGTGGGGCTGGAGGCGTGCTTCGCCGCACTGCCAGTGAGCAATGGCACAGCCGGCAAGCATGAGAAGGGCGGCGAGGGGGAGGGGGACAAGTGAGTGTCTCTCTCACACACACATCACACACATAAGGGGCAGGGGAGGATGGGAGAAGGGCAGTCGGACGGGCGGTCCATCTATCCATCCGTGTGTCCATGGATCCATTGCTTGATGTCTGTGCGCTGCCTGCATGAGACACCGATCTCCATCGCATGTATGGTGTGTGGATGTGTGTGTTCCGTATCTGCTTGTCCGTGTCTTTTGACCCATGCGGAGCGACGCTTCCTGTCTGCCTGTCTGTCTGCCTTTCGTCTGTTCCATCAATTTCTGGTTGGCCAAGTCGTTCGTGTGCATGTGAGCAGACTGTCTGCGCACAGACCGACCTAACGAATGAAGCTCACACACGCCCAGATTGAGTACTGCGCTGCGGCCAGATTGAGTGCAGAATGTATGCGCGGGCAATCGATGCATGCAACACATTAAGAAAAAACATTGCATGCAGGTATACACACGCCATGAATCCGTCCAAATATTCGCGAACGCATCCATCAGCCATACGCACAACGTACACACACCCGGCCACACGAGGAAGTCCCTTCACACACGCAGCACACATGCACACGCTCATGTGCACACGCACACGCACAACACCGACGATTAAGCCAACCAGCCGGCTACCTCTGTCAATCAATTCACCTGCTGCCCCATCCATCGTGCAGCCAACGGTAAAGCAGCCGATCCGGCAGCGACATCCGTCCATCCATCCATCCACACACACACACACACACAAAAAACACCTGCCTGCCTCCATCCCTCGT